ACTTAAAATATTAAAACAAATTGCTTTAGGACTTAAACAAATTCATCAGGCAGGTTTTGTTCATCGGGATTTCCATAGTGGAAATATTTTGTTAGGTGAAGGGGCGGAAATCGCTGATTTAGGTTTTGCAGGTCCAGCAGACAAACAGGCTTTAATCAACAGAAAAGTAATATATGGAGTTCTTCCTTACATTGCTCCCGAAATTTTACGTGGTGGCAAATATACCTCCGAAGCTGATGTATATAGTTTTGGAATTATAATGTGTGATGTGTTGTCCTGCATACCTCCTTTTGATGATCGTTCGCATGATGGATATCTTGCACTTGATATATGCCTTGGTTTACGACCGGCAATAGAGAAAGATGTTCCTGAACTTTTTGTAAAGTTGATGAGAAATTGCTGGGATGCAAATCCTAGAAATCGACCTAAAGCAGATAAATTGTTCAAAATATTAGACGATTGGTATTGGAAACTTTATGATAAATCGGAGACACCCGAAAGTTTAGCATTCATGGCCTCAGATAATAATATGCCACAACCAGATATGATAGCATCTAGTAGACCTGTGACGCAGACGCACCCACTTGCCTCTTACACGAGTAGATCGTTTAATTTTCAAAATCTTCCTACGCCAAAAAATTCACCATCAATTAATTATCGATCGAACTCCACTTCCTATAGTAGTGTAACCCGAGGTATATCTTATAGAACTGGTATGATATTTTTAATTATTAATATTTGAGCACGAACCTTAAAATTACTATTAATTTTATTAATTTTTAATTAAATATCCAAGTTCTTAATAATGATGAAAATAATGGTAGCTGGTAGTTTATTATCATTTCAAAAATTATAGATTTTAAATTAATAATCGAAACAATTTTAACCAAATATTTTTTTAAAGAATGTTCAAGACAACTTGATAAAGCAACTATATTAGGTAATTGAATAGCTAGGATTTATAATGCAGCAATTATTTTTATTTTTACTATAATATATTTTTTTCTATTTTGACTTCGTAGAACCCGGAAGCACAAAATCTGAAACTTATGAAATTTCATCAATTGATATTTCAGCTACAACACAAGGTATAATTTTATGATTATGTGGTGGCTGAAGCTGAAAATTTTTAATATTTTATTATTAAATTTTTGAAATTTTTTGGGGTGCATTTTTTTTTATAGTTAGATTAGAATTTAGGGTTAGGGTTTATATTAAAAGAGTATAAGTAGATTTTAGCAGTGTCTATGGTTTCAAATCGAGACCTTAATTTTCAGCTTCATCTCCCACAATATATAATAACGATAGGTATATTAACTTTTTTTTTAAAAAAAAATAGTTATCTCTGAATCTGAAGAATATGAATATGTTACAAGGCAACTAGATTTGGCATTATAAAGCAGATTATCTTATAATCTGATACCGTAATTCTCGGAAGATATCATAGTATCGTATAAACCATTGGTGTGATGCTAATTCTGCGGATAGTGCTCACGGACAGTGCTGACCTTCGAGACTAGAGTTAACATCCGAACAGGGACACGGAAAAATCCCGCAAAAAACCCTTTTTGATTTGGGTTAAAAATTTCGATATAAAATTTTTTCACTATTAAACTATGTTCTGCAAAAGTAGTAATTTAATATGAAATTTTTTTTCAAACCTAAAATTTTAAATTCAATTCTGTTAAGGCCGTTTAAAGTTGATTTTTTAATATAATTAAAAATTTTAAATATTTAATTAATAGTTATTAGTTTTCATATTTAAAATTTTATAAAATATTTAAAAATAGTATATTATTCTTTTCTTTTTAAATAAAATTATTAACTAACAATCTTTTTATAATTAAGAGGTAGTTCTCTGAAGGGTATAAAAAATAGCAAATTTCATAGCATAATACGGCGTAACTTAACATGTAAATTATACAAATAATGATTAGATACAAAGAAAGTTTACTTCTAATATAATAGTTTGAATTTGCAAACTTATCTGAATAAAGTTAAAACTTAACTGCTGAATTAAAAAAAAAAAATTTATATCTTTTAATATAAATAAAAATATTAGTATAACAAATAAAAATACATATTTTTGTATATATTTTTTTTTAACTTAACGATCTTGCCTTTCATTTATTAAGAGAAAACATTATAATATTAAAACAAAAATATAAACTAATTTACATTAGCTACATAATTGTTCTCTTTTTATAATTCCGAACTCACTTGGCTGTCTTAGATATCCAAGTATAATCAGCTACAAAAGTAAATTTTTCTCTTATAAGAGCAGTTTGCCTAAGCAAATACATATTTTAATAATTTATAGAAAGCTTCTTTATATCTATTTCAAGATTCTTTAGTTATTTTTAAAACTTAACTAGTTTTCTTTTATTCTTTTTTCAATTCATATTTAAATCTTAGCTTTAGTTAAATTTTGAATTCTTTCTTCTTTGCTTTTGCTTGTTTCTTCATAGTTAATTCTGCTTAGACTCTGATTTTCTTTATTTATTACATTTTTTTTCTTCAATTTATTAAGTTTTCATTTTATTTTTTTTTTTTTTTCTTTAAATTTAATGTTATTCTTTTCTTTTTACTCTAGTATAACTTCATAGTGAAATTTTTACAGTCTTTTAAAGAAATTAGATTAGAATAACTTAAAAAACTAATCTATTACCTTGTTAGTTTTGAAGCTAGATCTTAGGATATCTTTGACTTCTGTTATAAGGTAATTACTAGTTAAGCCTCAAATATATTATTTCTTTTTGCTATATATTTTAGCTGCATTACATCCTATAAATATTTCTTTTAAGATCTAATCTAGAATAGATATTTTCTATTTGTCATTAAACTTTAAACTTAGCTTTTCTATAATAAATCTTTTGATCTTTTTTCAAATTCTTTAATAAATCTAGTATTTTGCAATATGTTCTAAAGATTCTTTTTTTGCAAAATATACTATACAAGTTTTATTCTTATATAAACTAGGATTTCTTTAGAAACAAAGATCTTTAGTTGGTAACAACTTGTTAAGACACTTTATCCTAAAGATCAAGACTTTGCTTTTTTGAATACTAGTACACCTCTTTCTTTAAACATATTTCTATATATATTAATTTAATTCTATTGCTTTATAATACTAGAATAATAAAAAAAATTAGATTTAAAAAAAATAAACCTGTTATTTCAAAATCTTAGTTTAATAAATAATACTTTTTTTTTTTTTTTTTTTTTTTTTTTTTTTTATATTATTTTTTTTTTTTTTTTTTTTTTTTTTTTTTTTTTTTTTTTTTTTTTTTTTTTTTTTTTTTTTTAATTTCAACCCGTGGGTTGAGGTGAGGTCTTGCCTCTATCTTTATT